CCTCGATCCCTCTGGCCCGGGTCACACTCTTAATCCAGTAGCACACGGGCTTCACTGGGTGTGCGGACAGCGGTGGGCCCTCGTAGTGAGAAAAGTAGGCTGCTGACAGTACTTAAACCCCCAGTTTTACATCAAAATCCAGTGACCCGATCGCTGGAACCCGAAGATCTGGCCACGTGGGGTCCAGGTGGCAATGGCGAGCCCAGCAGCCGGGCCCCTGGGGGCAGACCCCGTCCTCTGCCGCCACCCCAGAGAAAACGCTCCCACGGGAACCATGCTCCTGGCACAGGCACACCCAGAGCAGGGGGCACACCAGCACAGCCCAACATGTGTCCCTCAATATGTGTGTGCACACACACACATGCACATACACACACACGCACGTGCATGCACACGACATCTTTACAAAACGGGCCTCAGCTTTGCTCTCCTCCCATCCGCCCGTGCACAGCTCCCAAATCCAATGTGAAACGGCGGCCTCTTTGGGCAGGATCCCCGCGGCCACACTGCCTGCAAACTTGTCCGAAACAAAACGCTACCCAGACCCTCTGGTTTGGGCCCCCCCACCAGGACCCTCCTCTCAAACCCTTCCTCACGTTTGAACACACCATAACGTTTAAAACCCATGGAGGGCGGGGGGGGCGGCCAGCACCCGGGTGCACTAGCGGCAGCCCTCAGACACTGGGCACGTGCCTGGTCCTGCGCTGAGGCCAGCAGCCCCGCAGGACCCTCCCAGCAGCCTCCTCTCGGCGGCTCCCCCTGTCACTCCGTTCCCCTTCTCTCGAAGGCAGAGTGCACACAGCGGCACAGCTTTCTCTCCATTTCTTTTCCTCCGTGCCCAGGAGAAGTAACCATCCATACCCAAAGGGAAGCTGGCAGGAAAGGCCGAGGAGTGTGTGTACATGTATGTGTGCATGTGTATGGGTGCAGGCACATGGGACTGTGCACACACTGGTATGCATGGATATGTGGGCAGGCACCTGGGGGCACTTGTGCAGCAGGAGCAATTAGATCTTCTGTCTTGATAAGACTAAGCCCTCCCTGACCCCGGGCCTCGTGGGGCGGTGTAGCTGGCTTAACCCAGACCTCCTGCCCGGCCTGAGGTCCCGCCAAAACTCAACCCCTAATCGCACCTCAAGCCAAGGTCAGCCAAGATCAGCCGCAGAATGCTGTGGGTTGAAAAGCCCTGCTGAGAGGACCCACCGAGGGCACAGCGGCCCTCGGCACCAAGATCAACCCAAACCCTGAAATACCCACTTTCCACAGGTGCCGGAGCCTCTCCTCCCAAGAAACGCAAACGCAGGATGGAAACTGGGCCGTCCTTGAGGGAGCCCTAGCCCTTCCCGCACAATGGACGACGCCAAGCTGGAGAGCGATGGCGCAGTCTTCACAGGGACTGACTTCTGAGGGGACAGGGGATCTGGCAGCTCAGATCTGCCCTCCTGCCCACCCCCCCCCCACAGACACCAAGACCCGTTAGAGCCTGCGCTTCAGCCAGGACCCTGTCAGGGGCGTCGGGCATAGTCTGCAGGTGGTCTGGGTTACACTGGGTCGGGGTGAGTGGAAGCTGCTCTTTCTGGCCTCAGTGGGGACCGGCCAGGGGTACTGCCGAACCTCAGCACGCAGGACCTCCTCCCACCCTCCCAAGGGGATCATCTGGCCCAGGGTGGCCCAGCGTCCAGGCTGAGACACGGGGACTTCAGTGCTCAGCGGTACAGCGCGTCAGGAGAACAATCAGAACACGGCGCCCTGCGTGCTGAACGCTGTGTGGGACTACTGGTTTGGAACCAGCTGGAGAAGGGGAATCAGAGGCTCAAAGACTCCGATGGTGTTAAAAACCCAAACTGCCAAGCAGGTCTGCCCGCAGGGGTGCCAGGGTGAGCCTCCCAGGGCCCTCCAGAAATGCTATCACAAGAGCCAGCGGCTGTACGGCAGACAATTCAGTCCGCCCAGAGAGCTGTCGGCTTCTACCAGCCGCAGGAGCAGAAGCGGGTAGAGGAAGACGGGGTCATTTCTAAAAGACACAGAAAAAAGATCAACAAGAACGCTGAGAAAAAACTGTAGCAGGAGAAATCCTCTCAAAGGAAGCGGAGCGAACCCCCTCCCTGGCTGCCTTCGTGGTGGGCTGTCACTTGAGCCTGCGGCTTTCAATCTCAAGACCCCTGCCTTTAAAGAGAGGTGTGTTTTTCTGCGGACTGGGTTTTGGGAACAGCGAACTGCATCAGACTCTCGACTCTCAGAAAAGATGGAGCATCTTGTTAAAGTCAAGTCAAGCCCATTCCAGATGTCTGCCCCCCCCCATCCCCCTCCCTCCATGCTGCAAAATGGATGCCACGGATTCCTTCCAGCCCCCCAAGTTCAAGGTGGGCCTACTCTGGAGCCCAAGTTCCAAATTCCAGGGACAGTGTGTGCACTCCACGAGAAATGAGCCCATCGGCGGTCTAGCGTGGGTGGGGGACCAGGGGCAAAGCTTTCCATCACACCCTGCCTCATCTAGAAATGACGGCGTGGATCCTGAGCCCACGGAGGGAGGACCCAGGACTACTGGAGCAGGACCACTTCTGCCACGGGAGCCTCCAGCCAGAGTTCGGAGGGCAGAGGCCCCATCGTGAAAGATGGTAGCATTTCAACCTCATGGTCACATTTACCAGGTGAGGAACCTGTGGCCAGGTGGCTTAAAAGTCCTAACCAGGGCAATCCCCTCTCATAAAGAGCCCCCTGAATGCTGCCCGGCGGGCCCTCCAGACGCATCGGTAATGTTCCCAGCGCTGTTGTGTGAACTACCCAGTGGCCACTGCTCAGCTTCTTTCCCCTCTTCAATCTTTCCTTCCTCCCTCCCTCCTTCCTCCCATCCTTCCATCTTTGTATAAAAGGACTCCAGACCCTTGGGCTTCCTCAGGAGACCCTTGACTGAAATCTGATTAGCACTTGCAACAAATGGTTACATTATACCTGGTTTTAAAGCTGCTTCCTCCGCCCTGGGCTTTCTTCCCGTAAGCAGGGGGCCCTGTGTAAAAAGTACAGGGAGTAATGGGCCGCCCCGGGCCAGCTCTGCGCCAAGGACCAGGGTTCTGGATGCTACCCTCAAGGGTCCCTGCAGGCCACGGTTTTACTGACCCTTAGTGTCAGTCGAAATATTAGCCAAAGAAGGGGAGGAAATAAGAACGAGTGCCCTTTAAGTCCTGTGCCCAAAGGATGGACAAGAGCAGAGTGTCAAACAGAGCCCAGCCCTCAAGGTAACAAGTTCAACACGACGTGGATCCCTTGGGCGGGAGGTCCCCGGAGCAGCTTTACAGAAGGAGGGGGTAAAAACAAGGCAAGGAGGAGACCTAAGCAGCAACCCATTTAGCACTGGGAGACTCCAAACATGTGCAAACATATTTTAATAACATCCCCGTGCATTTCATTAGCCTCCCGAGTTCACAAAGGGCCTTTGGGAAGCAATCTGGTTTAAATGCAACTCAATTCCGAAAACGCTGGCTGGCTCGGAGCAGGTCCTCCTGGCACCTCGCTGGCCTGGCGCAGGGCAGCTGGGGGAGGGGAGCAAGGCTCTCAATTGCCTGGAGGGAGTGGGGCGAGGTGAATGGAAGGACCCCCCACCCAAGCCCGCCAGCCTGCCCCAGCGGGGCGGCTCATGAGCTATTTTTACCTCTTGAGCCTCACTGTACAGGCTCAGGGGCCGAAAGCTGTGGCAGCCGCCTTTGGAAACTGGCTTATGAGTCACCTAGTGACGGCCCTGGCTCTGTGGCAGCTGCCTTTTGGCTCCTGGTCCCAGCTGGAAGGCTGGCCGTGCAGAGGGCTGCGTGCCCCCTCGCCTGAGGTGTCCAGGGGCGAAGATGGGAAATGAAGTTCAGAGAGACAAGAGGTCCTCCAAAGGTGGCTGGGGGAGGGGTGTTGGCTGGAAAACGGCCCCAGGGGGTGGCAGCCAATTCCCCATCCAGCTATACCTCCACCTGGGTGGGCGATAGGAGGAAAGTGCCGGGCAAATCAGGCTGAGCTTCAAACACCCCCAGCCCTATCCTCCTCTACCTCCCTCTGCCAGGGCAAGGCAGTCCCAAACACAAACAGCCCCAAACTTTGACTCATTTGTAACCATCGTCCCAGTCTGACTGAGCCAAGCTGTCCAGACAGGATATTTATAGTTACGTCGGGGACAGACACACAATGACACACATACTCGGGATCCACAGCTGGGCCAAACCCACCATCGGGAGCCCCGGATCCAGACACCTGGGCACAAATGGTCCCCAGACCCCCAAGAGAGGCGTCCAGCCCCACGCAGACCTGGGAAGGCTCGCAAACACGTACTCCTGGGACAGACCGCGACCTAGACACACAGACACACACAGAGACGCACACTCCCATCAACACACCGCAACCCACTTACAGGGACCGAGACACACACAGAGACGCACACTCCCATCAACGCACCGCAACCCACTTCCAGAGACCGAGACACACGGTGCCACGCACACTCCCATCAACGCACCGCAACCCACTTACAGAGACCGAGACACACGGTGCCACGCACACTCCAGACAGCCGCTCGGAGCCCCAGACACCTCGCAGGCCAGACAGTGTCTCACACGCCCGGCCCCCCCCCCCCCCCCCCCCCAGCCAAAGTTGATACAGAGCCGGCCTAATTGCTCCAACGCGACTGCCCCTTAGGGAAATAAAATGGAAACTTCACGCATCCACCCTAGCTCTCTCCCGCCGGGCGCCCCGCCGCCCTCTACCACTCGGCCCGGGTCCGAGTCCCCGCGGGCAGGGCGCGGGCGGCGGGGGCCGTGCCAGGCTCGCAGCGCCGCGGGACAAAGCCGGGCCGGCCGCCAGCTGCCGCGAGCCGGGAGGGCGCGCCCGGGGCGCGGCGGGCGCAGCCGGGGCGCGGGGCTCACGGCCCGAAGGGGCGCGCACAGCCCGGGTCCCCGCCCGCAGCTGCGCCTGGACTTGGGGTCTGAGCCCAATGGGGCCTCCGGGGAGGGGGGCGCGGGGTCACTCACTGATCTCCATGCTCTGGAACAAAGAGCGTTTGCAGTTGCACGTGCAGGAGACATTGGGCTGCCCGGCGGCGGCGGCGGCGGCGGCGGTGGCGTTGACCCCCATCAAGCGGTGCATGGACGGCGTGGCGGCGCGGCGCGGGGTGCGAGGTGCGCGGGGGCGGCCGGGGGGGGCTCCGGCCGACGCCCGGCGCTCGGGCCCCGCATGCAGAAGGCGTGCGGCGGGGAAGGCGCGCCGCGGCTCGCCAGGCTCGGGACGCCGCCAAGTTTCCGGGGCGCCGCGGGACTCAGTGCGCGGGGCCGCGGTCCCCCGCCACCCCCGGCCGCCCCTCCGCGGCCCCCGGAGCGTCGGCAGCGCCCGCGGGTGGCGTCCGGGAAATGGGCCGGCAGCCGGGGCGCGCGCGGCCGCCGGGGCTGAGCCTCCGCCGCTGGCTTTCCCCGGCCGAGCGCCTCCTCCGCCGCCGCCGCCGCCTCCTCCTCATTCAAGTCCAAGGAGATCGGGTTTCGCTCCGAGACCGCGGTCGGAGGCAGGCAGACGGTCTGACGTCAGCGCTAGACGGGGCTGCCGGTTCCCACCGCGCGGGGGCCGGGGAGGGGGCGCGCGCTGCGCCAATCCCCGCCGAGGTTCCCCCGCACCCCCTCCCCGGGCCGCGGGGCGGGGTGACGGGGAAGGGGGCGGGTTCTTAAAGGGCCAGAGCGAGGCTGCCCGCACAGAACCGGAACCCGCGCAGCTGAGGGGCGTTCGGTCCCCTTTCCAACCGGGTCCGTGTGGGACCCGTGCCCTGCACACCAGCCCGGGGAGAGGGAGACTCGGGTTAGCAGCGCTGCCGGGTGCTTTCCCCGCCCCCTCGGCCCGGCGGGTTCTGGACCTAGAGTTTGGGAGGAAGCCTGGGTTCCCCGAAGGAGCACGAGGTTCCTGGGGCTCAGGGCAGGGGAAGGAGAGAAGGGGGAGTACTCCAGGTCACCCATTACCTGATTTCGCAGGAAGCTCCCCACCTCCGGGTTTGCAGCCCCACGAGGCCCCCAGCCCACTTGGTCCCCGGCGCACTTTAACCCGAGCCCAAGGAGGTTTAGGTTGGGCCACCTGGAGGTTCCGCAGGCACGCCCCGGGCAGCGCCGACAAATGCCCCAGAGCCCTTGTCATGTAAATACGAGTCCGGGACCGTCGTGGAGTCCCAGCCCAGGGCCCCGGGTGAATCCACACCCATTGTCTGCCGCCCCAGGGGCCGCCGGCGGGGGGTGGAGGGGGAGGCGCGGCTCGCGAGGACCAAGGGGTACTTTTGTTTCATTAAGTTTTAATTACTCAAATGCCGAGAATGTCTCCTGGTGTAAAAGGTGTTGAAATATTATGTAAGAGGGCCCCCTCCCGTCCCCCCCCCTCCGCGCCTTTTGGCAATTTGGGGTGTCCCCTCCTAGACGTTTTCCTAAGTCTGTATTTTACATGGAGGGCCTACCCCGTGCCAGAAGTTTACCCAATATGAACTCAACCTGGCACTCTCTGGGGGAGGCAGGGTGGTTATTATCCCATTTCACAGACCCGAAACTGACCTGGAGTCGCTGACTTAATCTAAGCTCACTCAAATGGTGGAGCCTGAGTGGGACCCAGGCCCTGGGGCACCTACCCCCTCACCTCCCCCCAAACACACACACACACACACACACACACACACACCCCTAGTTCTTTAAATATTCACACACCCCTGTAATGCCTGGAGTTTCAGTCAAGAGCAGGAATTATTTTTGTGTTGGGGGGGCGGAAGGGGGAAGGGGTTCTAAAGTTATTACTTCCTTTCAATAGACTGGAACCAGCAGAGCGTCGCAGAATGCGGAGAAAGAGGCCTGGGAAGTGGGTGAGTTTTCCCATTGCACTGCTGGCCAGGAAGCCTCTTGCTTTCCTAGCTGGAGTGGCGATGGACTGGTAGGAGCTTTATGAGGGAGCCGCAAGTGTCAGTACCGCAGTGGTCAAAGGCACTGACCATCATTTGTTTGGAGAAGTCCAAGCCCGAGGCCTGGATGGGAGAGTCCTGAGGGCAGACGCAGCCCCCACCTTGAGGAGGGGTCAACTTCACCTGCTGCTCCGCAGAGGGGCAATGTGGGGAATAGGTTTTGCTGCAATATGGCCTTTGCAGTTTGGAGAAAGGCTGAGGAGGTCCTGAAAGTTCCTAGGGGACCCTGAAAATGACCCTGGGCCTGAGGCCAAGGAGACCACCACTGCCCCTCCTCCCAGCCATTCTTCCATTCATTCAACCAACAAACTGTCACTGGGCTCAGCTCTGAGAGCCGGGAATCCAGCCATGCCCGGCAGAACCCCTGCCCTCCTCCAAGTCCCTCGCAGACATCTGTCCTGTCTGGTGAGCCGAAACACACACACATTGATTGTTTGGGAAATGAGGCAATCCAGGTTAAACCGCCAACAGGCAGAAATAACCAGTTAATTCAGTAGATAAAACACACACACACACACACACACACACACACCAAAAAACAAACCCTACCCACACTGAGCTCTGGCCATATTTTTTTGAGTCCTGACAATGTGACACCACTGTTTTGATGATGGTGGCACCTGGACCTGGTTAGTGGTCTCAGCCCTGGTTCCAAAGTTGGTTCTGCCCGGAGGCCTAAGACAGGGCGCCAGGCACGGTGGTCACAGCTGTATCTCCAAAGACGTGTGCCAGGCTCCGCCCTGTGTGGTGCTAGGGATCAGCGATGCAGGGGCACACCCACCATCAGGCCACGAGGTGTTACTGGCCCGATGAGAGCCTCACTCCAAGGGGTCGGGGTATTGGGGAGGTACGGGTGTTGGCCCACCTCTGCTGGGCCAGCCTGAGCCCATGGGAGGGAGGCCACAAGTCAGGAAAAGAAGTTTCCTGCATTCTGTCAGTAAATAGTATGCTCCCCATTCAGGGCCAGACTGTGCTGGGCACTGGGCACCTTGTCCTTGTGTGGCATCGTGGGGGCAGGAGAGACTAGGAGCCCCCATGCAAACTGGTAGCTACACTAGATCACTTCAGATATGGCGACCATGAGCTAGCGGCCTGGAGGGGATCAGGAAATATGTGAAGAGGTGGCTTATTTACTCATATTTACTGAGCATCTGCCTGGGGCCGTACAATCCCTGCTCTCCTGGGACTCATTCTTGTGTGAGTCTGTAAACACCTAAGTCCAAGTGATGTCTTCAGAGAGGGACAAGAGCTGAGAAGAACACAAACAGCCCTGGCTGGACCCAGCTGGAGCCCAAGGGGACAGGGTGGCCTCTCTGGGGAGGTGGGACAGCTGATAGGGAGTCTCGTGCCAGGGGGCACAGGTGCCCAGGCCAGAGCCCTTCATGGAAGAGGAACGAAGGGATCCTCACGGTCCCAGGAAGTCTGGGGTTGGGGACACATTGCCCAACTTGGCTGGTTACGGGTCATGGGATTGTGAAAAGCACGTGTGTCCCCAGACGATTGCTGGGAACACGCCTTTCTGGGCCTCCAGACAGCACGTGTCCTGTCTGCCCTGAGTGTGGGTTGGATCTGCCGCAGGGGGGCCTTTGGAGAGAGAAAGTCCAGTCTAAGCCAGTCGGGAGGCCTTGCTGGGATCGGAGGCAAGGCCAGTCAGTGCAGGTACCGCGCCTCGTGCTCCGTTTAATGTTCTACTGTCACCGTCTTGAAACTCTTAATAATTAATCATTTTTGAACAAGGAGACTTGCAGATCCTGCAGTCGGTCCTTCTGGGATGCCGGCCCTCGTTGGCAGCCTGGCAGCAGGCTGGGAAGCTGGGAAGCCAGCATGGGTTTTGGCCCCCTGTGGGGGTGGTTGGCCATGTCCGACTGCATCTGCTGGGCATTGTGGAAAGTGCTGGGCTGAGTCCACAAAGGGCGGCAGTGGTACAAAGCAGATCTCAGCCTTTTCGGGGCCAGCCATGTCCCCTCACCTCCCACCGCCCCAGGCCTGAGGACAGAGCTGCCTTTTCAGAAGCAGGTTTAGGCACCTCTCCTGCTGACTGCCCAGCACCGGAGATCCAGCCCACTGACTCATTTTTCCCCAAGTCCTGCCTCTGGTTTAATCGACCTGTCAATTTTCCCAGACTTGCATCTTTGGACTGTATGTTTTATTTTTTGTCTTGTTTTACTTTTAATCAGTATCAAGAGCTAATAATGTTCGTTGGATACTGCCTGGATGGCAGGCCCTGCCCTAGGCCCTGCATATTTGCATATTCATCAGCTTCATCATTCAACATATATGCCTCGGATCCTATAGCCAGTCTGCAGTACCTCAGTGCATCCCCTACAGCCCTGTGAGGTCCCAGCTACTACTATTCCCAGGTGACAGATGGGGACACTGAGGCATGAGTGAGATGGAGTGGCATGTGACTGCTGGTACTTTTTCTGCCCTCCTTGCCTCTGCTGGGGTCTCCTGACCTTTCTGCTGGCCTCATGCAACTCTGGCCATGGGCTTCCTGGAGGCTCCAGCTGACCACTGCAGGGAGGGTCAGGTGGAAGTGGGCTCAAGTGAAAGAAGTGAAGACCAACTCAGAGGCAACTCCATATCGGAACCTTCTGTGAGTGACTTGGCGGGTCATTTTGCCTGGATAATCCTGAGGAGTCCGTGCCAAATGGGAGTGGAAACAGAACTGCACAGTGTGTGTGCGTGTCAGCACAGTGGCCCACGGCACTGAGCATGTGTGTTTGAGTGTTCACTGTCTGTCTGCCCTTGGTTGGGAGCCCCAAGGGCCAAGACAGTCTGCCTTGTCCAAATGCATCCCAGTGGGTGGGATGATCGGGGGCTGCCGGACTGTGGGTGCGCGGCAAACCTTGGGCGATTCATGGACAGCACCCACTCACATGAGCAATTGGGGCTACCTTAATTGCTAATAATTCTGTCTTCCTTTCTTGCTCACTCCCTCCACTCCATACATCTCCTTTTGTCCTGCCCCTTGAATACCCACCTAATGACAAACTTCTAAGGAAGTATTGGCAAGCCAGGCACCTGGGCCAGCACCTACCAAGAACAGGTACTTGCCTGGTACCGGAGCAGAACCAGACAGTCTTAACCATGAAGTTGATTTGTGTGTGTGTGTGTGGGGGGGGGGGGGGGGGAGGGGAGTGGTGGTAGTGTACTCTGTGTGTTGTGTGTCTATGGATGCCCATATGTGTGTTGCATATATATGTGGGGTGCTGCGGGGGGTATATGTGCATTGTGTGTTTTGTTGGTTGTCTCTATGTGTTTAGATGTTGGCACAGGAGCTTAGCACTTGGACAAACGCCACATGGTTGCGCTCTCCAGCAGCGAGCCAAACAAGCTCTGCCACACGGTCACAGGTCCCTACCCCCACCCTCCCACGGGAGCCATCTCCTTCTCCTCTCCCTCAGTGTCTCATTCCCAGCAGGGAACTGGTTTCCACAGAGAACACATGGCTTTGGGACCAAGGCAGGGAGATGAGGGGCAGGCAGAGGGAGATGACAGTGGAAACATTGGAGCCAAATCCTATCTTCTGACAGATGGGTAGACTGAGTCCCAGTCAGGGACAAGGCTTAGCCAAGGTCAAGGTGCTGGTGAAGGCAGAGTTGAGCTAGAAGACTGTCCCTGACTCTAAGCCCAGGCCCCGCAGGGCACCACGATGCCCCAACAGTCCCTACCAGGGAGTGG